TTTTTTTTTTTTTTTTTTGAGAAGCAGTCTCATTTTGTCACCCAGGCTGGAGTGCAGTGGTGCAATCTCGGCTCACTGCAACCTCTGGCTCCTGGGTTCAAGTGATTCTCGTGCCTCAGCCTCCCGAGTAGCTGGGATTACAGGTGCCACCGCCATGCCTGGCTAATTTTTGTATTTTTTGTAGAGACGGGAGTTTCACCATGTTAGCCATGCCAGTCTCGAACTCCTGACCTGAGGTGACCCGCCCGCCTCAGCCTTCTAAAGTGCTGAGATTACAGGCACTCAGCCACTGTGCCCAGCCCTAATTTTGTATTTTTAGTAAAGACAGGGTTTCACCATGTTGGCCAGGCTGGTCTCAAACTTCTGACCTCAGGTGATCCACTCACATCGGCTTCCCAAAGTGCTGGGATTACAGGCATGAGCCACTGCACCTGGCCAGTTGTACATTTTAAAATAACTAAAAGAGTATAATTGGATTGTAACACAAAGGATAAATACTTGAAGGGATGGATACTTCATTCTCTATGATGTGATTATTTCACATTGCATGCCTGTATCAAAACATCTCATGTACCCCACAAATACATATACCTACTATCACCCACAAAAATACAAAATAAAAAAAAATTAAAATATGAAAAAAAATATGAAGGCATGAGGAGACACTGCCTCATTCATTATCTTTGTTGACTTTCACCTACCACAGGAAATACAACCAGAGTTCTAAGCCTCCAGTTCCAGACTATGTTGTTTCTGACAGTGGGGAAACAAAGGAATTTGGGTAAGAGCTCTCTAGTTGCTAAAGTAATAAACATGAGCCCAACATGATGGTTCTTGTGGGCATCTTGAATGTGCTAATTGAAAGTTAATATAACAAGTCTGTTATTCTAAACAAGGTTTTCTGTGTGTACAGTTGTTGATGGCTCTGTTATTTTGTCATTATTACAGGGATGAAAGTAAGCTTCAAGATAAAATCTTCATCACCCAGCAAATTCCAATATCAGACTCTTCTGGTAAAGTGGTGCTACCCACTATTCCAAAAGGACCTCAAGAGTCTGACACAGTAAGGAGTCTCTCTTATCAAACAATACATATTGTTGTCACCCTTCCCCATGTTGCTTCTTGCTAAATCAGTTATTTTCTCTACTAGTTAAGAGACTTCAGGGATCAGTGGAATGAGTAATAAATAGCATTAGCAGATTACATAAATTTTTAAATCAATATCCATACAAATGCATACTATACTAATGCAAATGCAAATGTGTGCCTCTGTTTGTGTGGAAACCTATAGGTTGCCTTTTGAAGTAAGCAGCCTAGCCACAATGTGTACTATCTTTTATGTAAGAGTAAACATAGTGACCTTGTGACTCTTAGCTTTCCATCACAGGTGGGAAGTCAGAGTCATTACAACCTAGAGGACAAAGGCTTATAAGGAAATATGAAATGATTTTTTTAAGCCAAGTTTTTCTCTTTAAGAGTTTTTTATTTATAATTTGTTATTCATAATCAATTAGTACAATGTAGAATCTGAGAAATTTCAAATGAAGCCACATTAGAGTAAAAAAAAAAAAAAAAAGAAAATACTGACTTTTTAGCTACGATCACATGAATATAACTGATGAGTTTTTTTCATCTAAGAAATAAGAAACTCTGAACAGCACAATTCTGATTAGTGTGTTTTTTAGAAGTGATTTCCCTTAAATATAAGGAAAATGTTAGGAGTCTCTGTGACTACATTTAATTCCACTTGGAATATAGACAATAATGACCTTTTATTTAACCCAGCCTATAGTTGTTGGATTGGATTAAATATCACTACCAGGGCCGG